ATTTCTAGGAATTCTTTGCTTACAATTTCTTCTTAGATGTCCTATTTTGCTACAGTTAAAACATCTGGTATTTCGATGTCTTTTTAAACCTCTAGAAATCGCTTCTCCTACCCAAACTTCTGTATCTTGATCCTTATACTCAAGGTTAGTTGTATACAGGACCCATTACTCCAGTTGTGCTGACCTGATTTTTAATGGCCAAAGTAATGACTGCATTGTGGATTTGCATTCTCATAAGCTAGAAATTCTATAAGAATCTGAAACAGATACCTGTAATTCTACTGCTCTGGATAACCTTTCTAAGCTTTCTCTTGGATCCTGAACCACTTTGGGATAGGGTTGTATTTTCTCTCCTGGTTCATGAACCTTATCCATAGTATTCAGAGCTGCTGTATGGCATAAAGACAAGATGTGTTCATCATTTGCAGCCTGAACCTATGGGTCAACAAAAGCACCCTCACCAAGAATCTTATCTTGGGAAGCTTCATAGCCTTTCTTTAATCCTTGAAGCTCGAGGGCTTTTGTCTCTTCCCTCCATAAAGCTCTCCATTGTATTTCTAGCACTGCTGAGACTTGATGCATATGAATTGACAATTTCCACCCTGAAACCAGTTTGGGACTACATAACTCTAGACAAGTCCAGACTAATTAACTGATATAGTGCACCTTCTTATTACACTCTGGCCAAATAAGAATTATTAAACAAGATAAAAACTTTAATCAAGAACTTCCATCAAGCATCTCCCACCAAACAGAGACTGGGTACAAATGTTGTAGCTAATTCACTTGAGATTTTCACTATTCTAACATTTTCTTCCTACAGTATCCCATGAGGTTATCGTTATCCCATTTCAAGAGGAAGTACTTCTGAGAATACTATGCCCCTTTCCCTACTTTGATACTTCAGGATAATTTACACCTGCTTAGGGTTAGTTTTCAATTGTTTAGGGTTGGGATTGGAAGGAGGTGTTCAGACTTGCGCATCTCTTTCAGGTATTTTTAGGGTTTAGATGGGATAGATAAGCTTAGGAAGGGATATAGGTAGATTATTGTATCTTCTAGTGATTTATAATTTGTTTATTGCAATTCGCCATACTGTGTAAGGTCTTCATTCTATTCATGTTGTCTGATGCATAAATATCCTTATCCTTTTCTGTGTATATATGCCTTATATATGTTTGAGACTTTTTGTATATAGACACAATTTAATTTTGTTTCAAGACTTAATCTCTTCTTTAGACTAAAATGTGAATTGTAGAGAGAGAACTTATGTACTTATAGCGCTGATCACGCCTGTTTTGGCATGGTCACTGGTACGTAAAAGGTATGGGAGGTAAAAGAGCTGAGGGGAAAAAGATGCTCTCTTGGGGTTCCAGTATGGCCTCGGGGAGCAGTGAGCACTGACCTTAGGTTCTCAGCTTCTCATGTGAGCGACTTCTCCCTAATAAAATATCATATGACATCCCTATTCTCTCTAGGCCAATCTTTCTCAATGTATGTGTGCCTGGCTTAATTTTTATCACCACACTATAAGAAGTGATGTGGTATTCTAATTTTTTTATTTAATGATTATTAAAGAGCTAAACAGGTTAAGTAATTTGTTGAATTCAGTAGTTAATAAATGGATGCGTTGAGCTCAAGTTCTGATTTTTATGACCCCAAGTCATTTTGCCTGTGATTTTAGTGAACTCATTCGTTTATAAGCCTGCAAATTGATTCCTGATTTAAGGACTTTATCTGCAACAAGCCAGGTTTTAAGAGCACTGACTTCTCTTCCAGAGAACCTGGATTCAAATCCCAGCACCCACATGGCAGCTCACAAATGTCTTTAACTTCAGAATCTGACACCCTCACACAGAGATACATGCAGACAAAACAGTGATGCACATAAAATAAAAAAGATAGATAATTTTTTAAAACCCGGCATCTTTTTTTTAATCAACTATAAGTCTGTGTATCTAGTGAATCTTGATTTTTATGTAACTTGTTTAATTGAAACATATATTTTTGAGAATCTACTATTGAATAACTGTTAAGCTTTTGTGATCAGGAATTTACTATCTTCATGGGATTGTAACTATTACAGGAGTGCAGTTTAGTAATATAGTATTTGTCTATCATGTAAAATGCCTTAAGTATGCTGCCCAGTACTGCAAAAAGAATTATATATGTGAAACAAAGAGAAAAACTGCAAATATGAAGTTGAATTTACAGTAATTAGACATTTCCATAAGTGATTTGTGGAGGTTAATCTCTTCACTTCATTGTACTTGGCATAATTACCATTATCTGGTTCTCTTTATAAATCAAAGGCTACCAAGTCTTTTGGGAACATGAGGATTTTATATGTCATAAAAAATCATGTTGGTAAATTGACTGAGAGTTCAGCATGTAGCACATCCAAACTCCTGAGTTGGTTTATCTATCAGCCAGGGAGCATGTTCAATGAAGATTAGCATGAATCCAAACCTGACTCCCAAGCCTTCCAGTTGTGTGCATGGGGAATTCTGTTCAGTGGGACATAGACAGGGTAGCAGAAGATCTCAATAGCTGTGTATTTCACTCAACTAGGGCTCCTCCTGATAGAGAGGATTTGAAATGTTTTAAATGAGGTAGCATTGACTTGAATGATACAGGACTACTTGAGGTACTCTGTCTATCTTGGAGGAAGTATGTGCAATGAACACTTAACAGGGCTCTTGAGACAAGAAGCCATAGCTGTAATTCAAATAACTTCTGTCAATAAGCGCATCATGTGAAGCAATTGTAAGTTTGAGATGCACAGTTCCTGCACAGTGGGTTACCAGATAGGATTCTTTTTATTGCTTACTGCACATCACTGTTGATGTACAGGGTATTCTCTATCAAGCTTTCCATTAGCATGCTTGTCGCCAAATATTTGTACAGTTTTAGAACTTTACTCTTTTGAAACTTGGGTTTCTTAGTCCTCTTATAGATAATGTTGGTTTCTAAGTGCCATGTGAGTTTTCTTCTCAAAGCAAATTAACTTTACTAAGGCTGACTGTTTTTGAAGTTGATCTCCTTTTTTATGCATCCTCCCCCCGACCCTGGTCATGGTATTTTATTGCAGCAAAAGAAAAGTAACTGCTACACAGATCCCAGAATGGGCATTAACATACATGAGGAACAAATCTAAATACCTTTGCAAACAATGCTAGGTTGAATACTAAAATTTTGGCTCAGGATTGTCATGGGAGACTTGATCAGGGCTGTAAATCATCTACATCTGAAATATGTGTATCTGACACTTCCCCCTTACAATGACAGGGCACATCCTTCTCAAGTGCACAGAAAACCTCCTTATGCAGCCACACCTTAGGGTGCACAGCTAATCCCAAGACATTTAAAATGTTGGCATCACACAATTCATCTTCTCTTGTCACAGGGGTGTATAGAAATGAATAGGGGAAGGAAAAGGGAAATTCCTGTAGATGTGAGACTTGAAAACACAAGGAATGAGTCAAAGAAGAATTCACAACTGAAATCAACAACACATACAGATGCAGAGCAAAACCATCACACAGATTTATGCATCGTTTTATTTGAAATGTCTACAATATGAGCATTTTATGTGTAGGTATATAGCACATTTGTACTATATTTAAATTAGTTTACTATGTTCCCTTGTCTCTACAGTCTAAGTTGTTGGGATTAATTTTTAAAACCGAGGCAAGGACTTTTTGTAAATATGTTATGGTTTCAGAATGGGTAGTAAGGGAGGAACATAGGCAAGCGGGCAGCAACCATTGTTCACACATCATCATTGGAATTTAACCTAAGTAGAGAGTAATCTAGTTTTCTAGCTATATATGAAAAATAAAAATATTTGCCAGTTCTATGGGTTCTAAAATTCTAACTTGGGTTATATGTGTTTCATGTTTTTAAGTACTAGAGCTGCTTTTCCTGTAGTTAGTAGTCAGATATGAAATGTCCATCATGCTTTGACTTGACAGGAAGAACTGAAAATATAGTAACTATCCAGATCTTAACTGTGCTATGTGCTTGTCAGTGTGGAGGGAACTTCAGACCTTTTGATTTCCTAATAAGCAGAACTCAGGGACGATAAAACTTGACATTCTTAACCAATACTAACATTTGTCCCTGTAGCCCTGTGTCATTTCTTTCTTATTAATGTTAAAGCCAGAATTATAAGGGATCATGGTCTCAAGGTGCTACTGTAACTGTAAATAGCATCCATGTGGGCCTCTTGAGCCTAAGAGGTGGAGGAAGAAAAGATGGAATTTATAAAGGAGCATGAAAATGAAGTCAAGGGCAAAGACTGCAGTAGAACGATAAGAATATGCAAATGCCCCTTAACATTTGCAATAAGCTTCATCCAGGTGGGCATCGTCATATCTGCCAAACTTCTTTGCTTTTTAAAGCCAAATTCTGATTAGAGCAACAGCAGCAGCTGATGCTGCTAGTGGTATGCATGCGTGTGTGTTGTGTAGGACGTTGGCACTCATGAGATAATACAAATAATCAGTGAGGGAATAATTAATGATGTGGCAGGGAATATTTTTGATAAATGCTTAGGGAATGAGGTGACAAGCGTGAAATTAGAAAATTCCTTCAGCGATCTGAAATATAAATAGCTTTCGGAACTGAAAAGAGTTTCTCAGCTGAAGATTTTATTGTGTTGAGAGGAAAAACTTTTTTCTCCTTCCCCCTCCCTTCCTCCTTTGCAAGTTGTTTGTCCATTCACAAAACAAATACTCTGAAGCCCAGTGAGGCTCATGGGAATAAATTTCAGGTCGAATTAGTACAGTTTCCTTGCTGTCAGGATGCTGGAATTAATGGTGTTTTGATGACACGAATTTTGAAGGGCCAACAAAGAAGCTGAAGGGAGAGAGACATGACTCCTTAGAAGCTCAGTCCTCCTCTCCCCCAGTCTCTCTTGTCTTTCCTGTCATCCGTCTGCCAATCTCCCTGTCCATGGTTAGTTAAAGGCGCTTTTTATCCTCTTTTCTTTCCCACAGAGTTTGCCAGATCCGGCCCGGTGCCTGGGTTCCAGGAGGACACGCTGCAGTTGGCCTTCATCGACTTGAGACAAGTAAGTCTTTGTGTTTTTGTTTTTTGTTTTTCTTTTAAGATGTGTGACTGAAGACCATCAGGTCTTAAGGAAAAGAGGGGGGGGGTTGGCATTGGTGATTCACACTGGAGACCTAAGGGCTTTTCCCTGTGTTTGAGGCCACCTCTTTTATTTAGCTATCTGAGATCCTAAGCTATGGTGGAGTAAAGGTTTTGTGAGTAGAAGGGAAGACAGGGGGTGGGAAGAGGGATCCACAAAGTAGAGGGACTCAAGTGACCCTCAAGTGATGCGATCCATTGTGTGGCCATTGACTTCTCCAGACACAGCGAAAAGATGACTCGTCAAACCCATGCTAAGCAGGTGCACTGATGCAGAGACGGCCCGCCTGAAGAACTTTGTGTCTGGATAATGTGGCCAGCAGTGTCAAAGGAAAATGAAATGTTTTCCTTTCTGGGTTGTTAGTCCAGTATGTTGGCTTTCTCCTGCTGCCTCATACCTTCTATTGCCTCCTGTGTATAATGTGATCAGCCATCAGCAACAGAGTGGTCGTGCTTGAAGATGGTTTGCAAAGGTTCTAACCAGTCATGCTAGCCTGATGGGAAGTTTTGTTACAGTATCATAATGAAGGCTGACACTTATGTCTACCTGAGCCTTGACAAGTTCACAAGATAGAAAGGCCACCCGTAGGGCTGTTCTTGCAGACTGGAAAGGGTGGGTGAATTGATAGGCCCTGGTGTTTTGGGTATAGTAGAAAAAGATGGGTGGGGGCCAAAAGGGAGAGCTGTAACTGTGTAACTGTGCTGTCATCTCTTCACTCTGAAGATGGATGGGGTTGGATAGAAAGTGCAAATGAAGTAAGCATCAATGACTGATGCTTCTTTCCTATTAAAACAATCTTTTTTTTTTTGTCTGTTTTAGAAGGGGGGCTGGCTTTGTTTCTCCTGCCAATATGATGCAGTGCCTCTTGTTTTCAGAGCTGACATAGTTTGCATTCTGAAAACTTGTAGATGCCCAGAGTGTTTCTTAAAGCTGTAGGACCTCTTGTCTGGGTAACCTCCTTACCACTGTGACTGGATTCCTGCCGGAATAGCTTTTAACCCATAATGGATGGCTTGAGCTAGCCCTGGACCCTTGTGGATGGGCAGTATAATCTGTCATCGATGACAATTCCAGAAAGCCCTGTTCCGCAGAATCATGTGTCTATAGACCCTGCAAGGTTTGAGGATTCAGACCACGTTCCAGAAACGTGTGTCAGCTTAATATTTAGGGGCTGGTTTGGGGACTTGTTTTCATAAGACTTCCTAGCATTGTCAGAAATGGAGCTGTCCCCGTCCACACTGAACACCTTTCACCTGTAGGTCTGATGTGCCCAGATTTTAGCCTTTGATCTAAGATGGAAAGATTGAGATTTTGTTGTAGGGTTCAGTGGGGATCCATTCCTTTCCCTTCCAATTTATTCTCTGAAACTTCTAAGCCAGTTCATGCTTCTTGGAAAGCAGAAAATGATTTTCATTGGAAGAACATATCCAAAAAAAGTCTATCCTTTTTCACTGTTTATGCAAAGGAAATGTCATTATCACTAGTTTGTGGTTTTGGCACCTATAGAAAACAACTAGTGTTGACAGAAAATGTAATCTTAGGGTTAAGTGGGAAATCACATCCAGGGTAAGGTGGGCCTGAGCCAGGGGTGAATGCTCAAGTACGCATGAGCTCCAGGTGTGCAGTGGTGGTGTGGATGCTGAAGTCCCTATTTGTACTGCATTCCCACTCTCAGAGTTTCTTTTATGATGTTTAAATGATAAAGCCTAAACATAAAATTTAATTGATAATGACCGACTGTGTATCTTCCTATTCCATGTGTCTCTAAATTCTACTTGCATCTTTCTCTGTTATAGCAGTTGGAAAGGGATAATGTCCAACCTGGATGATTTGAACAGTGTCCTTAGTTTAAGACTGTGCTAGTAGATAGGCTGACATACCACAAAATGATCATTTCACATCCTGCTCTGAAAACAGCTCCTTCTTTTCATTCATCTAGACCATGCCCAGATGTTCAAACTACCAGGAGAATTCCTGTTTACTATAGGAGACTTAACATAAGATGAGACATGGTTGAGTATCCTGTTCTTTGAATCCCTCACAATCCTAAAGCTGAATTTTAAATTGGGGGTCAGAGACTAGCCTTAAAATTGTACAATAAGAACTTGGCATGCTCCTTCCGTCTTTCCAAAAACCCAACCCAGATGGTGAGTTCTGACTCCCTTGGAGAAAACTCTTCCCAAAGCAACAAGTTCACCTCAGGTAGCCTCATTATCATGAATATGGCCATAACCTAGCTCAGAGACAGCCCTTGGATTTTGTGTTCATTGTTTCAGAAGTGGTAGCTTTGGCTGTCTGTCCTTTATGTTGCCGGTGTCCCCTTTACTGATGCAGGTGTCTTTTCTCCACACAGTAGAGCTTCCTGCCTGGCCTTTAGATGGTGGTTTCATGAACTAAACTTGGAGGCAGGGCTTTTCCTAGCTCTGTTCTTTTTTCAAATGTGTCAACTCATAGATTTTAGCATTCTCACAGATGTCTAAACCTTTTTAGTTTCTAATTTCATTATTTAGCTTATTAACATACTTAATCATTAGACCTTTATAAGTTAGAGATCAAAACAGTAAATGGAATTAGCAGGGAATAGGACAGTGGCTCAGCAAGTTAAGCATTTGCCATGAAACCTACCTGAGTTTGCTTCCTGGAATCCATGTAAAGGTGGAAGGAGAGAACTGACTTGACTTCACAAAATAATTCTCTGACCTCCATGATAGTAAGTGCACACCCACTACTTACACACACACACACACACATACACACACACACACACACACGCAAGCACACATGCATGCGCACGCAGTCACACACGCACATGCACAAATAATAATAGTAAACAAAAAATTTTTAAATGGTAGTAGAAGCACCAAAAGTGAAAATTAAAGCAAATGTTGTGTGACTTTTCCTGATTAAATATGTGCATACCCAAGATAAAACACACAACACCCCCCCAACAAAACAAAACAATTCCACCCATTTCTAGCTGGAATAACTAACAGGAGAATGATTAATGGGTTGGTAACAGGGAGCATGGGCAACTTACAGCAGCTAAGCCAAGTTGCCTCTGCCCCAGCAATTGTTAAGTGTTTACATATCTTTAGAGAGGAAAATCATAAGCCCTTCTCTATTTCCAAGAGGAATGTACAAGAGCCCAGTCTTGTGGGGGTTTCCTGTAGCAGTCACACATAACAGTACTATGATTTTAAGATTTCAGTAGCCATGTCAGGCAATAACTATACCTGGCCCAAGCAGAGTTCCATAAAAGGCAGAATGTAGCATGCATGCCCATATGAGAAGGGGTCTGTCCTGGTGTGCTTTAGGGTGCATGCTCTCCCACTTCAACTCAAATACTGGCTGTTTGCCTCCCTGGTTTCTGAGTGTATCATGCAGATCATGCGCTCATGTTCTTTTGTGTTCGACTTTCAGATGTAATTGAGTGAGTGATAATTTAAAACATATTCAAAACATGGACATTGATGAAAAAGTCTCTGTATAGTCTGTAATGGCAGAGTGTCATTTAAAAGCTCTGCAGTTTAATTAGAAAGAAAATTAGATGTGGATCATAAAGCTATTCATCCTTTTTCACTTACTGTATTTCCATTTTTTTCTACTTCTTAAGGTGAAAAGTGAAATGACATTTTGAATATACAAGCTTTCATGATGTTTCAGAGTTAAAATATATTGACATATACTTTTCATTTGTTGAGATTCTAGGATTAGAAAATCTGCTGTTAATAATAATGAACTATACAGTACCAATTGAAAGATATTTTTTTAGCATTTTATATTATATGTTATAAAAGTTCAATTTCAGGACAGTTTCATGAAAAAATATGTGTACATTTCTTTCAGCTTCCAAGCTTTGGTAATGTTAAAGTTTGAGGACAAAATAAACCCTCATTTAATGAAATATTTTAATATGTTATCTACACTCCTGGAACTGGTGTCCTTTAGTTATTAATCTTTAGAATTTAATAGAGGGACAGTAGTAGATTCTTAGTGGCTTTTTACTTTTTAACAGTTCTGTGGCAAAACATGAAGTAAAAATACTGCTGAACACCAGCACTGGATTTTTGTTTCAGTTCATTTCATCAAACTCTGAGTGCCCACTATGCTTAAGTGATGCACTGCAAGAACACATTGAGTGTTACTGTGACTTCTCCCAAAGGGGCAAATGGTGATCACCAAGTCATTGATTGTAATAGGGCCATGTTGTGATAAGTATTGTCTTAGAGACATTAGAACATTGTATGTATTTCAGTTGTTTGACTCCTGTAACATATTGGCTTGAACCATGTGTGGAGCTCAGGATTCTTCTAATCAGCAATTCTGGGAAGTTGAGCATGTCTCCCTACTCCGTCAGCTGCTGGATTGAAAAGACTGACCAGTCTAGAGGCTCTCAGTGTCTGGGGCCAGCTCTTCTCTGTCCATGTGATGTTTTATATACAGGCAGCCTGCTCTAGTCCTACTCAACAGCATTTGGCAATGTTTCCAAAAGAGAAAGTGGGCAGATTGAGGTCTGTTCTCAGAACCAGTAGATCGTCACTTCTACCACCTGCTCCCATCTTCAGCTTCTCCCAGGGTCAGTTCACTGGTACATAATTGCACCTCATAGTCTAGCTGGAATGGAATACTTATGGAAATCAGGGGCAGGGCATCGTTTTAGGCAGAAAGAGCTATAAAATATTCATAGAAAGGAGAGTAAAAGTGGAAGAAAATTAGACTCTGTGTGTGTGTGTTTCAGTGTAGTATGTATTGGTTTAACTCAAATGTAGACTCTATTCCTTTTGGATATTAGGAACTTCTTTAACTATTATCCCCTAAATTTTCTTATTTTGTCTTTATTTTCTCTTCTTTCCTTGAGAATCTCTTTTTAATGTTCTGTTTATTCTCCTCCTTCAATGCTGTAAATTGTGCTACCCTAAACT